GAAGTACGTGTCACTTAATGAGACTAGCTCTCGTAAGGTCAGCTTTCAACGTCGAGGTCTAGTTTCAAGAATACGTGATAAACAATCATCTTCTTCTGTTCCAGTAGTAATGCAGCAAGTGCAAAGCAATGTCAACGGTAGCGACTGTGAAAAAAATGTGCCACCTTAAGACGTATTTCTCCATCTTACATAATTAGATAGCAGACATGCAAATTTTAGTTATTTGACTTGTTAGTCTACTCATTACGTGACAATGACCGACAGTTTTGGCTTCACATTACGGGGTCAAATGACAAACAGTGTCACTAAATGCTGCTCAAATGTAATTCAGTGTGTGATTGAAGCATTTCTAAAAATATTTATGCCGCCTGAAGCAGCTAATTTAGATAATCCGGAGGCATCAGGTTGGATTTTCTGGGCCTGTGGCCATGCCAGGGTTTAGGCATGCTGCCCCATGAGTGCTTTTATGACTATTGAGCGTTTTAATCGCCTGATAACTGACTAATAATCGGCAAACGTTGCAAACTGGAGATAAAATTTCGTAAAATACACCTCGGAAAAGAAAGACTATCTGCCGTATTAATTCCCAAGACAAAAACGAATTCCGCGGTGCGCTGTTAAGCTGGTGCATTGACTGTTCATCAAGATCCTGACATAGATTTTTTCAGTTCGACATGAGACCTGACGCCCCCCTGTTACATCGTTGATTCTTCAGACAGATTAAGATTGAACCAGGTACCCGCGATAACTCTCGTTCTTAAAAAATTGTTAAAACGGATAGAATTCGAAAATTTACATTTTAGGAAATCGAGAGGTAACAGACTCTGCATTTGGAATGTATTTGATATTCTTACGTCGACAAGCAGTTTCGCAGCTCTCCTTCGAGAAGAAGTTATTTTGATTTCCTTTCGAACCCAAGTAGATGAACGATTTGCAGACTTTGATAGTTGGGCGGAACGACCACCGGAGTAACTGTGATTCCCCAACACCAGTGACTTGTGGTTGAGAGCAAATTTCGTCGCCTAAAATTTGACAACAACGGTCACATTTTAAAAAGCAGTTCGTCTCGGTTTGTACCAATCACTGAACAGCACACCGTTGTAACATGTGTTCCGCCATAGTGACAAAAATAACCCGTAGGACACTCGCCAGAGTCGCCACAGAAAGGCCGGCCACTGTCAGTAGCAAATGGTTTTCCAAAAGCACAGGGATTTACTGCTGATTTTTTTAACATTAGTTCATAGCTTTCAAGTTGGTCATACCTTCACAAGCGTCGCTGCAAAAATTCTTCGAAAGAAAGTTATTTTCATTTCCACCCAGACCGAGATATATGAATGAGAAACACTGCTTTTTAATACCGTCGAAATACCAGCGCTTCAGCTCTGAATTACCCCTCCCACGTTCGAGGTTCTGCAAACAGGGTTCTTTTTCTGTACAAATAGTTCATTCATTCACTGTTCTAGGTCACGAATGATGCACTTACCCCCTTTTGGACAACACATTGTCATTTGTTCTGAACCTCCAATATGGCAATACGAATTCCATGGACAAACTTCTTTGACCTGATCTAATCCGCAAAACATCCGCTGACCCGTCGTAGACTTCATTGGATTTCCGAAACGGCATGGAGTATCTTCTATAAAGTCAACTAACTTTAAGCCTCTGCTATTTTCACTAACAATGACTGATTTTATTTGTTCAAAAGAACAAGTTTATTCGCTTAGGCGAGAAACGTTTTCTCTCAGCACAAAGAAGAAACAAAATTTTATCTTCAGACTGTGGAAACATTGATAAACGATTGAAAATTTGCAGCTGTTAATTTTGCAAAATTTAGTGATAAGACTTAATGAAGGTCATTTACACCCAAATAGTTTTTTTCTAATTAACTGCAGGGTGAAGGTTGCACTAGGTCGAGTTTTCGCAAATTATTTTCAGTTTGCATGACGCACTGATTACACTGTTTGTTAAGGTCATCACCAGAAATCGTTTCCATAGGCAGAATATCTTTGTTTATGATGTCCGCTGCTTCCTTTGCTATAAGGCATGGGTTACTGCATCTACAAAGAAATATTCCTTTTCGAAAGAAGATCTGCTTTTATCTTGTTCGTCTAGGCTACATGATGACCTCCTCGTCGATGTCTGCCGTGTTTCGGTTCACCCACGAGAAGCTCGCGGGCTAAAATGACTAAACGCCTGTTTGTAATTTCCCCCATCTACCCGAGACCACCTGTACTGCGAAGAAAGTAGACTCATCTCATGCGTTGTCGTGCCATTTAACCCTGACTCTGCGTTGAAGCCAAGCTGCAGTTTAACCAGTTCAACTATCGTTTGGCTCCTTCAGTAGAACAGCTATGATCATGCCGAACAATAACATTGACTTGAAAAAAGCGAGGTATAGGCAATTTTCGTTTAAACAGTGACTAATTTCTCGGACCAAATTTTCAGTAGGTTTCCAGAACCACTCCAGTCAATGGTATCATTCGATTTTACTCCGATTCTAGTACTCATATCAGAGCAAGTCAAGCGATGCGACGCTGTCAAAATTTTTACTTGAGGCCACAGAAATCGTTGTAAATTGTTGCTAGGAGCGAAAATTGACAGGCACCAGAAATTTTGAATAATTGAAATGCTTAATGGCATGAGAGACAGAAACAAAAATATATTTTTACTTCAGTTGCATGTAGCAATCTTTAATGAACCAAATAACTTGTCATTACTTCAATTAATAATTTGGTCTCAATATCGAACGCAATTAATTTATTATTATTTGCGTATTTATTTACTCGACTTTTAATTTAAACATGTATGCATTTTAAACGTCCCTTAGATAACAACTTACCGTAACTATAGTAAGGTTAAACCTGAATATCATTCTGGACCTTCACTGTACCGTACATTCACTTGTTCACACGGCTGATAAAGTAACGCTAGGCCGCAACTTGGAAAAAACAGGATATTTGTTTAACATATCAATAAATAAATAATACAATCATATCAAATTACAGCATGAGCGGCAAATTTCTAAGTGTGTATTACAAAAAGCGTCCATAAGTATCACATAATGGATATGATTAAAAGCAGCAGATTGGATTATACATATATATATATATACATGTTCGGTTATATTCCGATCTTGTATTCCGTTAGCATACAGATCTGACGAACTTCGAGTGAATCAAGCTGAATCTCGCAAGAAAATTGATACATATCCATAAATAGACCCGCGACCTATATTTCGAAGTCTAATACCAGTAGAAATATTACCAGCTAAAGTAGGAAGGTGTACACTGAAATATAAGAAGGTTCTTCCGTAGACAGTAAAGTCCAACCAATGCAAAAATTAAAAAATCTTTCCTGACGCAACCCATGAAGCATAGGATGACCCCATAACTGAACGCAAAACGAAAATAAATAACGAAAATAGAAGGGGTATCCATTGCTGAACATGTACATACAAATTTTTCCAACTAGTGTTTAATAAATGCGTTCTCATTCTTCGGCGCGTTGCTGTCTTTAGATTAACGGGTAAGCAGTGGAGCACGCGGATATGTTCAAGTACCTAGGGTTGTCTTAGAAAATTTGAGGAAGATATCGACCGGCGAACTCAAATGGCCAGTGGCGTTCTGTGTGAATTAGCCCCCAATCATTTTTACGAAAGCAGAGCCGAGACTGAAGACTAATCTCTCGGTATTCAAAATGGTCTTCATCCCAGTGCTCACATACGGTCATGAGTCATGGACCATCACTGAAAATATTCGATCCCGGGTACAAGCTGCTCAAATGGGCTTTCTTAGGAGAGTCGCTGGCCTTACACTTCTCGACTTGGTCTGGAATACTGACATCCGGTAGAGCCATGGTGTACAGCCTTTGCTTCTCGAGATTGAGAAGTTACAGCTGCGATGGTTTTAGCACGTTTCGGTGCTTCCAGGGAGGAAGGCAAAGCAATTGTTTCTTTTCCAGTCAACCGGCAGAAGGCTTAGATAAAGACTAAGATTAACCATATGTAAATATGTGGAAGGAGTCTGCTTCAGATTGTAGTTGTCTTCTGCCGAAACTCAGATTCTCTCTCTCTCTTTCTCTCTCTCTCTCACAGGATCGGAACTTTAGAAACACTGTCTGAGGTGTCTGCCTCCGCGATCCGAGCGGAGAAGCAGCTGTGGAAGATGAAGAATAGGATAAGTGCTGAAATAATTTGTTTAGGAGTTTTATGTTAATTTTACTTCATTATCTGAATTAAAATCCGTGAACTGCCATGACATCGTTTATTGCTGACAGTTTCCACTGTCCAATGAAAAGTTTGGTGTTGTTTCGCTGGACATGTTGGTAGGGGCATTCGTGATAAATCTACAGTTCGCATAATTTAATGTTTCTAACCCCTGAAACACTTCTGTTGAAATTTCATTTGCTTTAATGTGTTACTAACGACCGCTATAAGCATTACAGAGCAGATATCACAGTTCTTTCTAAGATTTGAGAAAATTCCTATATTTCAAAATATGAAAACAAACTGTAGCCATATCGTTCGTTGAATCAGAGCTTATTTATACCTTCAGAAATGGGCATGCTCGAACTACGCTTCAGCAGACTCGAAAGTTGCGATTAAGAGAATATAAAATACTGCATAAATGTATTATTCATATTCATTTCTGAAGATGCAGGACAGAGCTCACGTAGGTGTTATACATTATCCAGTTCAAACGTTCTAATTGTAAAGATGCGTTCATTGCATGAATACCAGGACAAATTCACAGATATTATACATCAGGGAAGTGGTAATGGATTCATAATCTTCAGCTGAAAAACTACGGTTCAGCTGAAGGTCGAACAGTTAGTTGGCTCCTGTGAAAATAATTCAGTTTGAAAGGGCTCATGTATAGCAAAAAATTCGACTTCGTGCTTGACAGAAACAACGTGCTCAGAGAGAATGCTGAGAACTGTTCGAATTCATCGATCAATGAGAGCCTCTACGTATGTCGTCAGCACTCCTATAGTGGAAGGTAAGAAATTAGAGGTATAAGACAAGTTAAAAAAAAAAGTTGCGGAAACTTCAACAGCAAATGCTATTTAAAGCAACTGATCATGAACGGTGTTTGCTAATAATCACGTTTCCCTATCTGACAGATGGGTTATAACAGTCACTTTCAAAATTTTTGTGGCATTTCAAGTCGAAATTTTTGCAAATAAACTTTTCATTTCTTGCCATTTTTTGGCGTTTTATATTTTAAATTTACGCTTTTAACGCTAATTATTAGTCATCAGTAAGCTGGGCCAAGGCGAATTGCAGCCCTTTAACATATGGATCAGACGGCAGTATCACATCAAAGCATCATGCTGTGCGTAAAATTCACAGTTCATGGATTTGCTGCCCGTTTTATGGCTAGTCTTACAACGGTCCAATGAGATGAATTTCATTGTCAAACGAATGAGCAGTCACAAGCCATGCCGTGCCACACACCACAGCAAATGCGCCATTTTAGCATATCGTTAGATAACGTTGAATTTGCAAAACACTAGTTCCAGAATTTTAAACTGGTGAGTGCTAACCTGGGCATGCCTCCTGACATTCTTGTAGAGATTCGAAGTTATTGCGGTTACCGTAACCGCCAAAAAATAAATATGATTCGCATGTTCTTGTATTGAAGTTAAAGAAGAATCTTCGCTGTTGGTATCCGCCTGCTCCAAGATTTGGTGATAGTGTACAAGGATTTACTAAAGAAAAAAATCATTGGTTTAAAACCATCAATTATCTACCCACCAGCACAAACAGCGGAACATGCAGCAAGGGTGATGAAAATATTATCGTTGCCACCACAGCCGCTATAGAAAAACATATCGCATCGATTGGCCTGTCTGTTAAAAAACCATCGGGGAATCCGATACGGGCCTGCGCCAACCTGTGCTGGCAGATTACAGAATCCGTTGTAATGGGTATCTGCGAACAAAAAGGATGGCTACCGCATTACCTACCGACTTCAGATGACATGTTACCTCGTTGACCATCTGCAATGAATTCCTGTGGAGACCTTCGTGAGCGGACATAATTGGGTCTAATGTCAGAAATAAATTCTTTACTTTTTTCGCACGCATTTGTGGCACAAAGTCGAGATTCGATGCGTGGCCATCCAGCGAATTCCTCCACTTCCGTTAATGAAGAAGTTGGCTCGGATAGTACCAAATGCATAAAACAAAATACTGCCGTTACCAAAGAAAGCCATTGTTGAAAATGCAAATTCATAATCGTCCATCGATCCACAACCAGTAATGTGGTATTCATCGTGAATTTTAAGCCCAGTTTGACAGCGGGTACGTCAGAGACACGATTTATCGAAAAATGGCGACGTTCCTCGGAGTGCAACGTCGATGTCCAGTCCAAACCAGAGTGGTTTAAACTTCAAGCAACCAGTAATCTGAGACCCATTCTTCCACTATTCGAAAAGTAAATTTACACAACGATCGGTCAGGGTTCAAACAGAAGCGTGATCGTGCTATAAAATATGCCTTCTTTCGTTACACAAGTGACAAGTGCTTGACCAAACGCACAAAGCTACCCTGACAACAATACACGTTAAAATTTTGACCGGCAGTTAACTTCCTTTGGAAGAAACCAGAAGATCATCGTGATTTATTCATGTTTACTTTGAACCTCGTGCGACACTTATTCCTCCTTTTTCCTAGACCAGTTTTGCTTAGTTTGTTTACTCCGATCCAAGCGACATGGAGCCAGGCGAGTCCAATGTTCGAGTTTTCATGGAGGTAAGCAGCTGTCACTAACAAAACACGCTTCATTGTCGACACCAACCACTGGGTTTGCTGAGTCATTCAACCCCACCCCTAGTAACAGCTTTACATTTCGTCGGTATTGTAATTGTCACAGTCATAGCTGCTCATCTATCGCACAACCGTTTGGACATATAAGTAATATACCAAAACTGTTTAAAATCGAAGACCGCAATCGGAGTCTTTTTAAACATGAACATAAATCAATGAAGAGAGATTTACGACCAGTCACTTTGACAATGAAATGTTCCTTCCGTGACTCTTTAATTGCATGCAGACGCAATTTTGGTATATTTTGGACTCATTGTCATCGATGACACATTTACGTGTCTTTTGAAGAAGCTTAAGGAAATGCATTTCAATTTGATTTGAGTGCTTATCAGACGGATTTAAACTTAAAACATTCATAAGAATCGCCAATTCACAGTATCGCCTTGCAACAATTATATTACATTATCGATAAAATACGGCTGACGTAATTGAGCGGCGGCACTCATAGCAGAGTTAAATGAATGCCAGTACATTTGTGTGTATTCGACGTTGCGGAAACACATGAAATGATATCCCTTCGTGAAATATCGATGATAATTAATGCAGCATCGCTACAGCTAATAAAAGTAGATGTTCGCTGATGCCACATCATAAAAAGTTCACGTTCACATGCATGAGAAAATGGTTGTGAAAGACTAAGCCAATTACTACTTTCATCACTTTCATTTTCATAAACCTGCAAGATATTCGAGAAATGTACTTTTCTAAATTTTTTATGCCAGTTTTCTGCAAGTCTTCCGTTAGTGTTGTTAATTGATAGTACTTTTCAGCAAAGAAAATTTACATAGTGGTCAACAGATTTTATTAAATCTTTTTCAGAAAACAAATATGGCTATTGTTTCCACTTTTCCATCTGAGTTAGTGATGAGAGTAATTTTCATATAGATTTGTGTGCTGGAAAGGATTCAGGAAGTTTGATTAACTACCGAAGCTGCATTGTTGGTCGATCAATTCAAAATAAATATCCTACAGTCTGCTTCATGCTGGTACCGCATCGATTAAATAGCTTCCAAAGACTTTCTTTCGGGCCTCGAGGCTAAACGATCATTAGCTGTTTGATTCGTGGGTTGAACCGTATTGCAATAACCCTCAGAGAACAACGATTTTCATTGTTCATCTTCGGAAACCACTACTCGCAATCGCTTACGTAACAGAATGTTCCTCCGAGGGTGTTTCTCATTTACTGTGAGTGAAAATGCACTTTACTGGGATGTCTGCCTTGAACTCATTACAATGATGTGCGTCATTTGCGGCACTCTTGATTTAAAGTAGCTTATGGTACAGCGTTTGATATCTGTTTCAACGAAATCAAGACACAAGTGTTATGAGGTGGCGCACAATTTTTTAAGAAGGTTATTCTTGGGGCGTTTATAGAAACTGAATCATTTATTCCAGTATCTCAATCAGGTACTAACTATTTTGATGTTTGACGATAAAACTGACTATACATCACCCACGTTTAAAATCTTTCCACTGACTATAAACGAGGAGAAAAAAACATAGTGTTCAGCTGACCAGATTTGAGCAGCAAAAATCTCGAAATAACGTTTTAATTAAAAGTTATTTCTTAACTGTATTTGCTAATTTGAACGGACGCATTCGTCGTTTCAGTTTACCTCGCCACCAATTATCGCACTATCGCCATCAACTACTTCTACCTCAGACACTATCCTACAAGGAGAAGATACCTGTACCTCATGCGAGAATGAGGAAAGAATGGAAGTCAATAAGTGCATGCTACTTGAACTAGCGCGTATTACTCGTTACAAAATCATTACCATAATCTTCGCAATTTACACTGAAGCCAAAATCGCACAAGCATGCATCTGAAGAGCCTCCTGGGTCAGGCCTCAGTAGAGAGCTCGTCATCTAAAATACACAAGAAAACAACTTCTCCACGGACGAAGACAATTACAAATAATTCGTAAGTTTGAGTTGCAAGAACGCTGCTGATCTTGCTCTACAGTGGTCGCGAACTTCCAGAATCAAGAGCGAATTATTTAAACATTAAAAACGTAATTTTATTAAACCAAATTTTGCAAAGTCTAATCGAAAATCGCGGTATAGGTTTCCTCAAAAATCTTTTTGAATATCATTTATACATTTCAAAAGAACCTTATTTTTAAGGCGCTTATTTGATCAAAGTTAAACTTTGAACAGGGAATCGAAAATCGACGGGTAACCGGATGTTTCTTTATAGCAAAACTTTCAAATTCTCTTTGATACTCTTGCGGTCATTCGTTTGACTTCGCAATCTGCTACGTTGCTGGAAGCTCTTCTCCATGAAGTTGGCGAGACAATATTTGGTGTAACGCTCGGACAACAACATCTCATCAGTAAATTTAAACCAGTGTTGCTGGTTAATGCCACTAGATGTGCGGGTTGCGACTCTCGGATAGATATCACCGACATATTGACCGAAAACAAAACATTGTTGCATGAAGGTGTGGTGGCAGTCTTGCAATGAGATCGGCCTCAAACGCATGAAGTACCGGATCGGACTGCGTGTAAGTGACAGTCTTTACCTTAGCCACGAAGAAAACGTTGTCTTAAGAACTTTTCCCAATTTTGCTTAGATACAGCCAGAATATACCTGGATAGCAGGTCGCTAACAGCCGAACAACATGACCAGCATGGTGTTCTGGTTTGGTCATTGTAGTATTAACGAGAAACACGGTTATGTCATCTGTTGCATTCGCATTATTTTGCTGCTATTCACCTTGATCCACCTCGTAGCTCACTATACACAGTAATGATCAGCCATTATCCCAGTTGTTGTTGATAACAGGAGCGCCATCGATTATACATGTCAACTAAGGTAAACCGCCTGAGGATAGCCCCGTGCAATGCGTATTTCAACTATTAAGACAAGTAATATTTTGTACAAACGTCAGTACATCTGCATAATGCTTGTCGGCAAAGGTGACAAGTGATTATTCGACAAATTTCCCACATAAAGAGCTCTTATATAATACTGCGGTATGGGAAATAAGTTTTGAGACATTTTTTATTTTGACGGCTATTTTAAGAATTTTTGCCATTCTGCAGAGCACAAAACCCCATGTGTTCTGCTAAAAAAAACTTTTATATGGCTGGAATTCAGTTCGGTAAAATGTAGATGTCTAGCCTATCCAGTCGCCGAGCATACTAATCAGTATTTTAATATGTACAGTACTCTTCTACTGATCGTTCATCGTTGCTGCGATACTGAAATGTGTAACGCTATGATGAGCTTCGAAACTTTTCAGATTTTTTTCGGCTCGGATCTAACAACCATTACTTGATCGGAATCTGTTGTTTTCTTTTCAAACCGACAGTGAACACTGGGTTTCTGTTATTTCTGTAACTATTTTCAGGTACTAAAAAGTTACTTTGCCACAAGCCTCCGTTGTTTCTTGGTTGTAGTTCTGTATTCTTGTCGCTGAGCAGGGTTGATGTGTGACTGTCTTGCATTATACCGTGGGTGAGGAGTACTGAAAACGAGTGACCACTCGTCGAGGATCGGGTAAATTGTTATATCGCCATACGTATAGCTTGTTGATATTGTGATCTTAGGCTATTATTTGCTTGTACGATTTCTTTTGCTATTCGCATTACTATGTTTTGCGTTTATTCTTAAGACTTTAGTACTTGGTAACATTCCCAGGCGATTTTACTTAATCGAGATTTTCCGAAAAAAGATGACTCGTTTTTTTGGAAATTTCTGTAGCTTTCATCAATGTTCCTCACGAAACGTGTATTTGAATATTTTATTAACAAAACCGCTTTGCTTTCATTAAATGCAATCATCAATTACTATTTGTTGTTACTTTTGTTTTTCTCAGTTTATTTCTTCTATTTTATTTCTTTTGGATGACGCAATTTTTCGTAGTAAGTTTTATGAATCGAGAGTTTGTTTCTTGCGTTTATAAATTAAAATTTGCTCGATTTCAATTTTGGTTAATATTCAAGAAAGAGTATTTTATGGGTTCAAAAATTGCTCGGTGCTATTTTCAAGATTTTGATTTGTAAATATTTGTTTACCGTTTTTAATATAGACGAACAGATTCCGGGCGGAGTACTGAAGAAAGGAGTTTTTGAGAAGGAAGTTCGCCATTTTCCCGTTAAAATATGCAGAACAGCGTTTGTGTTTTAAGAACAAGGGTGGTGAATCCGACTTTGGTAAGAAGAAAGTGCGCTTAATAACTGTAGGCTTTCTAATAATGTTGTCTTTGTGATTCTAGCATTCGCGCCTACCAGTAGAAGTGCTCGGTCGCCTTCAGACAGTATGCAGACGTTTCAAGTAAAATTTGGTCTACCCGTCTTTAAGCTTTTTTATCACCACAAATTTTTTAAATTTAATTTAGGTCAGACGGAATAAAAGGGGCCGTGATCGGTATCGATCTGGGCACCACCAATTCTTGCGTTGCCCTGATGGAAGGAAAGCAAGCGAAGGTGAATAGTAAACTTTGAGCAGGCGTGATCTATGCCAGTGACTAAACTAAAATTTGTGAAGATACAGCGTTTTTAATTAAGGTCATTGAAAATGCCGAAGGCAACAGAACTACGCCTAGCGTTGTCGCCTTTACGGCCGAGGGCGAAAGGCTGGTTGGAGCCCCTGCTCGTCGTCAAGCCGTAACAAACGCAGCTAATACATTTTATGCTACAAAACGGCTTATCGGTCGGCGGTTCGAAGATACCGAAGTACAGAGAGACAAGTGAGGAAAATTTGAATTCATCTTTTTTCGCTTAAATAAATAAAACAGTTTTTTATTCTTTTTCTGTAGATCCTCAATATAAGTAAGTAATGATTGAATCGATGATAAAGTGTGAAAAATGATCTTAAATAAGAGATCTTTTCCGGTTCGTGGCAGTAAAGGTATCTGTTGTATCAAACAATATTTGATATATCAGATGAATTATTGCAATTAAATGTAGCAAGTTAGACTCTTCTGGTACTGCAGATGCTCAAAT